GGGGGGCCCTGAGGGAAAGACAAAGGCATGGTCCTGAAACATGAGAACAGAGCTCCAAGCACGACCTAAATCCCAGTGACTGGACGGGCAAGGCCTGGCCAGTGACTCGGTGACGGCACTCTGCGCCCTGCCAGCCCACAGCTCGCTGTTCTCCCAAAGCCACCTGTCTTCATGACTGCCCCCAATCAGTCAACTGGGACCAAACTCTGAGTAGAAGCAGAGACTAAGCTCTCTGAGAGCGCCAGCAGACAGGGACGGACACACCAGGCACCTGCAGCCATGACTGGGCCACCCAGCCCCGCACGTCAGCCCGGAGAACCACCGGAGCACTGCAGACAGAGCAAAGGCAGGAGCACTGGCCCCAACCACGGGGGTGCACGGAAGGGCCACCGTCAGAGCAACACCCCGGGGTCTCCCTTCAGAGGAGGCGCCTAGCGGGCCCAACCCAAATGTAACCCCTGTTCGGTTACAAGAGAGACAGCGTGCTGAGGGGTAAGGATCACACAGCGGTCAGGCGTCCTCAGCTTTCATCAGAAGATTCTTGGCCCTTGTCCCGCAAGAAGGATCACGAGTTCCCCTTTCTACACTAGCTCCTGGCTGTCTTCGCCAACCTTCATGAGATGACACCCCACCCCCCATCTGGAGGTCCCGCTGCTGCCTCAGGGCCTCCCTGAAGGCTGCCTTCTCCCCTACACCGCTTCCACCAGCTGCCAGTGAAAGGCCCTCTCCATGTGGATTCCAGTCCATCTTTTGTCAGATCTCCCTGCTGTCTTCCTTCCAAATGACCCCAGCACCTCAGAACAGCAAATGTGGGCTGGAGTGGGGGGTGTCCGCCTGGCGGGGAACCTAAGCTGCAAGATGGCTGGGATGACTGGGGAAGACACTGCGTCCAGACAAGCGCCCCCGGCCCAGCCCCCATCGATGACGGTGAACGAATGGTTCACAAGCTTTCCCCAAACTCCCTCTTTTTGGAGCAAATAACATACGAAGAGTGGTTTCCCACAAAGAGAAAAAGATCAGCTCAGCCAGAGTGACAGCTCAGGCAGCGGGAGGGGACTGGACCGGACAAAGGTGTGCCTCCCACTCTAGGCCTAACAGCTGGGGCCACCCTGGACCCCAAGGACCATGAGGGTGCAAAGAGGGGGCAGCCAGCATCAAAGCCTGGAAGAGCAGGTGCTCTTCAGAACAGAACTGTCCAGGGGCGCCTGGGTGGCTCAGTCAGTTGAGCGTCCAACTCTTGATTTTGGCTCAGGTCATGACCTCAGGGTCGTGAAATCGAGCCCCATGTCAGGCTCTGTGTTGGGCATGGAGCCTGCTTGAGATTCTCTCCCTCCCTCACTCAGAAAAAAAAAAAAAAGAGAAACCACCAGAACTGTCCTTCCTTTCCCAATGAAGCCTCTCCTCTCTTCCTATCACCCAAAAGGAAGGTTGTTCTAGAGTCTGCATCTCACACTAGGGAAGCCTAGTCAGAGACACCGTGAACGAGGGAAAGCTGCATAAACAATTCAGAGTTGTATGCACAAGAGGTCACTTCCCAGAAGAAAGAAAGGCTCGAGGGCTGTAGCTCTTGTCTCCAGCAGCAGGAACCACAGGAGCAGTGACACGGGAGGACTGGACCGGCTGCACCGCCGAGCACCCACACGGGGAACACAGCGGGGCTGCCGCGCTGATACGGATGCCCACAGTGAGGTTACTGCTCTTGCTGCTCTAATGTGGACGTGCCAAGAAAAAACGCAGACTACGAGGCAGACTGCCAGCGTTCTCTTCCGTGAAACTAAAATGTGTGGACTCTCTACCAAAACCAAGAGAGCATCTTCTACCAGGTTCTCTGGGCTCCAACAACTGGGCTACAGTGCCCCCCCCGACAGTCCGTGTCCCAAGCACAAGGCCCGCCACCTGCGGCCACCCGCGGCCACCGGCAGTTTCCGTTAGCACTGGGCTTCCCTGGGGCTCCCTCGGGGCGGGTGGGTTTCCTCTCCTCATTGACTTCCTATGCACAGAAACGTGCTCGATGCCCAGCTCCTCTCCCAGACACGCGCCCCAGGAAAGGTCACCAGCTCTCGCCGCTGTGCATGTGACGTGTCAGGACGCCCAGGAGGCAGCTCCAGATCAGATCCCTGCTCCCTGGTGACAGCTGTGCGTCACCTGCCACCCTTCAGACATCAGAGAGGAGCATGCACCTGACAGGGGCATCCCAGCCCTTTCGAGAGCTGACGTGACCAGCAAAAACCATCCCTCTTGTCCCGTAAGCCACGTCTACTAGACGGTGAACGAGGCCTAACCACGCTTTTTAAATAGCGTTTCAAGAACAGCTTGAGAAATAAAGCCTTATTCTGTGTCTACAGCTTTGTGACTGTGTTAAGTGCCGCGATGCAGCAGGGACGGCACCCCACTGTGACAGGAAACCAAAGCCCGGCGGGGGCTCCAGGGGGTCAGTGAGGACCGACACTCAGCACGTGCTTACCTTCCTCCCCCGTCTCCTGCCCCAGCTGAGCACCTTCCTCTTCAAAGCTTCCAATACCTGATTCCGCAGGCGGGGGCTGGCTGTGCTGCTGGCTCAGTTTGTTTCGAAGGACAGCAATCTCCTTTCTCAGGAGCTTGGCCCGCTTGCTCCGAGACCCGCTGGACTTCATGGCGCACGTGAGGTCCAGCTTGTCCAGCAGCTCTCGCAGCTGCTCCTCCAGGACCATGTGGGCCCTGTTGGCCGGGTTCAGCAACCTGTCCACTGGAGTCAAAGGACACTTCGTCAGTCATCTACCACGCTGCCCCCGAGACCACCTCACTGGCATCGGCCCCGCCCGCGGGAGCCCCAAATGCCCTCCACGCTCCCTGCAAACCCACGACGGGCCGCTGCCACAGGGAGACACACTTTCACCCAGTGGGCGTCAGGACGCGCCTGCAGGCAAGTTTCTACGTCCACGGCGGGGCAGCCAGGCGCACGGGGACACAGTGCACTGAAGCAGGGCTAGCGCCTCTCCTCGTGTGCACCCGAACCAAGGCCCTAAGTGAGGACCAGCGGCCGGGCCAGAAGAAGGCACAACAGGATGACCCCCAAGGGAGGCACGCTCCACTGACCACATGCACGGGGCCACCCATACAGACAGGGCCTCAGGTCTGAGCCGGTCTACAGACGCAGGCCGCGTGTGGCTTTACTACAACTGGGCCACACAACGCACAGACCATTCTCAACTCCAGGCATATTTACTACAAAAAACCCTAGCAACTTTAACTTAAGCAAAACAACAAAATTTATGAAACACAAGTTACCTGAAATTAGTGAAAGGTGGCTAAGAAAAAAACAGCTCTTTCAAACTAAGACAAAACCAGGAGTGAGAGAGATGGGAAGGAAGGTGGAAAGAGACAGAAACCACAGCACACCCACCAGGAGCGAGTGACACCTTCCTTCAGAAACAAGCGTTTACTAAAAGCATCTGCGCTTTTCACAAAGGAACGAGACGTTAATATCGCAAAATAAATAAGAATGCTTAAAACCTAACGGCCTGGCTTGCATCCATACTGTCTCTAACAAAATTTCACAAATAACAGCCTCAAAAACGTGCAAATAAACAAAATTGTGTCATTTGAAGACCCTCAGATCTTTACCCTTTAAGCAGATGAGGGACAGCTGTGCGTGCACCGCCCACCAAGAGGCAGCCCACGGGCCTCGGCACAGCGTGGATGAAGGCAGCCAGGGCCCGTGCGGACTGCGTGGGGAGGGAGGGGGGAGCACCCGCTGCCCGGAACACGTGCTCCGCTAGCTCCACCATCTCCCCGCACAAATGCGGAAAAAATTAACACTTCTCATCCTTGAGTTTATCCCTAGTGAAAACGTGGGTGCTGGACTTTCCTGAGGAGGCCCCACGGTGACCCATTTGCCCATGTCCTCAAGCCCACAAGCCCCTTCCTGTTCCAGGGAGGCTGCACGGCGGCCGGAGCGTCGTGGCCAGGGCAAGGCACCGGGAAGGCAGCCCCCACCCGTCTCCAAGGACAGGAACAAGCGAACGGACCGCCGTGCCCCATCTGAGAGGCACGCGGCGGCGCTCGGACAGCTGCAAGGCCAGAGTCCGGGGGGCTGGGCACACGCCCACTCCTGGGGCCTCCTCAGCCACAAGACGTCATTGGAATTGGATTAAAACCCACCCAGAGTGTAGCCGCCAACTAAACTGCTTCCTGGTCTGTATCATTCAGACCCAGGCTGTCCCCTACGGGGCCACTGCCCACGTGTGTCTCTCTAATGGGTCCCTAAAACACACCTGGTCTGAACAGAAACGTGCTAGGGGTATAAAATACACACTGCATGGCAAAGAAAAATTAAAAAACAATGGAAAACGTAATCAGTAATTTTTACGGTGGACTACGTGTTAAAAGCACAATATGTTAGGAGCGCTAAGTTAAAGATAACATCTTTAAAGTAAATTCCTTCTCTTTCTTCATGAGACTACCGGAAAACGTACGGTCACATATGCGGCTCGTGTTCTAGTCCCACTGGGCCGTGCGGACGAGGTCTGCGGGCAAGAGCGTGCTCCCACCTGGGCCTGTGCTCGGGGCTGGTGCTTACCGTCGTCCCAGGAGAAAGGCCGCCGGGGGGCCGCAGCAGGCCGCTCAGGCAGGTGCATCCCCGAGGCCTCCTCGAAGCCGATGCTGTCCGCCTGGCGCCTGGCCTGCCTCAGAACGACACCGCCCTGATCGCGCAGCCTCACGGCGGCTCTATAAAACACCGTGTCCTTGGCGTTGTACTTCATGCAGTTATCTACAATGAGATTAAAATCCTCCTCAAACTCAGTGAGGTGTCTATACCCTTGAGCTTCTAACCGTTTCCTCATTGTGGCAAAGTCCATGGGATGTTTAATGTGATCCAAATAATCTGGTACCTAATTTCAGGGAGGAAAAATAAGCATTTACAAACAGAGAAGGACTCTTATTCGTTCTATATAACCCCACACACCCACTACTTAAGGTATGAGACGCACCACACGCACACCCCACATCCTGCCGGGGGCCCCTCTGACTCAAGCTCCTCAAACCGAACACACAGCAACTGGTGCAGTCGTCTGGGCAGAGCCGCCGTCCACAGACAGCTTCTCTCTAAGGGGGAACTCTGGCCTCTCATTTCCCCTACTTTACAGTGAAACCTACCACTTTTACAACTTAAAAGGAAACGTGTTAAATAAAAATGAAACACTAGAAGACAAGTAATCGCACCCCTGTACCTAGTGAACGGTTACTACTTAAGTAGCAGAGTGAGCCCCGTCCCGAGCGAGCCGAGCGTGTGAACACTCACCTCCTTCAGGCTCACCGGCTGGGCAAATATCCGAGCCGGGTCCTTCTCCTGCAGCTGGTCGAGGACGGAGCGCAGCAGCACCGTGAGCGGGGTCAGCCGCAGCTCCAGGGCCATCTGCTCCACCTTCACCTGCAGGACACGGCACCTGGCTGTAATGCTCACCAGCGACCCTCTTGGAAAGGCTGCACTCCTGCCCGCCCCCCCGCCCCCCCACAGCCCCTCCAAGGGCCCACGTCAAATGCTCTGGCACACTCCGTCTCAGCGGCCACCCCACCACTGCCCAGCGCCTCTCTCCACGCACCACACACGTGGCACCCCCACGTGCCGGCCACGCTCCCCCGCATGGCACCCCCAGCCTCCTTCAAGACAGAGGTCAACGTCCCCCCCGTCCTGCTGCCCGCGACCCTGGCCCTGGGGAGGAGGATGGGTGGAAAGGCGGGGGCACGGTCTGCAGGTGCAGCCGGCTGCAGGCGCCCGCGGGGGAAGCCCACGCGGGGTGCCACCCCGCCCTGGGGAAGCCCCAAGGGGCGCGGAGCCTCACCTGCTCTCGCTTGAGCTTTTCCCGCTTGCGCAGGAGCTCGATCAGCAGGCGCGCGCGCTCCAGGTCGTGCCGCAGTCGCTGCCAGTACTTCAGCTTCTCTTTGGCAGCTTGGATCTCCTCGTCGTTTTCTCTCTGAGAAGAGGAACCCAGAGTCAGACGAAGAGCCACTCGATCCCGGAGCCGCCCACGGAAGCCCAGCCAGGGCGCCAACCAGCAGGGCCGAGGAGGCCCAGAGCAGACGTCCCGTGCACGGACTCGCCCCGCGGGCTCCCTACGAGGCCGGCATGCTCCGGACCCAAAGTGCGGGACGGCCGTGCGCCACGCACAAGTTCAGCGACTGGCGTCTTGACCCCGGCACAGGAGCAGCTCAGGTGAGCAGGGCACTGTCGCCTCCCCTCCTGGACACCGGGAATGGACGGAGCGGCCCGGGGAGCAAACACCAGGGACACGCCCACACCCAGGGGGAATGAAACGGGCACACTAGGTAGGGGTCACCACTTGAGCGCCTCCTCCTTCCTTGGCAAAACACACGTGCCGCTGACCTCAGCACAGCCCTTGACTGACCCACTTCCATTCTAGCACTTTCAAAAATAAACATGCCACATGCAGAGAGCAAGCAGATGGCGGCCCCCTCCCGATGCACTGCGGACCGCGACGCAGGAAGAGCTGCTCTGTCCATGACGGGGACGTCCCCGCACGACGGCCAGAGAGACCCTCCCAGCACGGGGCAACACGCGAACTCCAGGAGATCACAACCCAAGGTCCCCCATGCTGGCGCAGCATCTGGACAGCCCCACAAAGGCCAGAGCCGGGAGCTGAGCACCCCCTGGGTCTGCGCAGCGGCTGAAGGCCCCTTCTGCCCAACCACAGCTCCCGGGGCAGACCCAGCGCAGACGGTGGAGGATGCAGCAGTCGGGGCGCTCTTCCCCCTGCCCCTGAACCCCAGCTCCGCTGAGATGCTCCCATCTGTCCCCGTACAGTCTTCCAACACGTGCCCGGGCCTCCTGATCACAGCAGCCCAAGATGCCTACTGCAAGTGCACGTGCACATGACCCCAGACGGAGAGAACGTCCCCACCTCCGGTGGCTTTACCTCACCGTTCTACAGATACACACTACAGCCTCGGGCAAGGCGCTCACCGTCCAATTCTGGGACATACACCACACGCATCAGATCCCCCTCTCTCTCTGGACGGCTCTGCCCCTAAGGTTTCCAGCCCACCACATCCAGACAGAGCTGAAACAGCACACCCACCAGGCAGGGCCCCACCCCCCGGCACCCCTCACTCCCCGTCTCAATGCTGAGCATCTGGCAGGTGACAACTGCCGAGATTTGACCCTGTGGCCGCACACACATGGGGCTGTGACACGGTGCCCTCACTTCAAGGTCTGTGGGCAGAGTCACTGGTGAGGCTACCAGGATCCCCCCCACCCGCTATCAAAGGGACGGGAAGGCTGGGCCAGGCCCCCGCTCCAGGCTCTCCCGCTCCGCCAGTGCCAATCAAAGAGCTTGTGTTAATGGTATTTAAAAGTCTCAGGCACTGGGGCGCCCAGCTGGCTCAGTCGGTGGAGCGTGCGACTCCTGATCTGAGGGTCGTGAGTTCGAGCCCCACAGTGGGCGTGGAGCCTACTTAAAAAAAAAAAAAGAAAATCGTCAAAGTCTCAGACAGTAAGCAGGCATTAACAGTGACATCAGCTGTGTAAACGTGGCCAATAAATACATTAAAAAGTAGATTTAGAAAACCAAATTACCCCAAAGCATCTGAAAATCCCCTTGTCCACTGGTTTGAATAAACACTCCGAAAACATCAACCCAAAGGACACAGCCTGGCAATCCCACGAAGCAGAACGTGGTAGGTGCCCCCCACCCGCTGCACTGCCCATGGCGCTCACGGTCCTGGCTGGAAGACAGCGTGCACAGCCATGGAGGGTCCTGCAGGACAGGACCCGACTCTGACGCGCACGGCTTCAGAAAATCCATCAACGCAAAAGGGCCTGAGTTTCCTGACTCTGCTGTTCAGAGAGCTTTATTTCCTCCATAAAAACCTACCCGGGAAGACTCCATGAAGTGGAAGAAAAGCAAAGTGGTTTCTGGTACCGAAAAGCTATCAGGAAAGAGAATTTTAGAAGACCATGTTTACAGCTTCCACCTGGCAAACGGGAAGATGCTGGATGGAGGGGACAGGGCAGGCCAGCCCGAGGAGGTGAGGACCCCAGCACATCCACCCGAGTCCCAGGACACTACCAAGGACTTCAGCCCCAAGAGGCAGTGCTCCCTGCCCCTAAAAAGCAGGACGCATGGAGGGGCCCAGCCCTGGGGCTGAACCCTGCGCCCACAGCAGCAGGGTGAATGCAACAAGCTCAGTCCCAGCACAGCAGGGTGACCGTGTTGTCCTAAAGCCACCAGAGAGGACACGGAGATGCCATCAGAGGGAAGCATCGCAGCACTCGCCCACCAACCCTCACCCCAACCAGGGTCTGAGGATGGTGGAGGATGGGCTCTGGAGACGGTGCCATGAAGGCCCCAGGAAGGTGCCCACAGGGACCCCATGCTCGAGGCCAGACCAGAAGAGCTGAGCCAACTCCTCCAAGACCACCATGCACAGCAGCGTCCAGCAGCGCCAACCGAGGGCCCGGCCCCCAAGGCGCCTTGTCTGCCTGGATGTGGGGGACCTCACTCTCAGACCAGCTGGTCCCGCCTGTCTGTGTGTCTGTCTCCCCACCAGAAGGTCAGCCATGGGAGGGAAGGGCTGCACCTGGCCTCTTCCACAGCCCGGCCCAGAGTGGGCACCCAGAAATACAGAGAAACGAGTCAAGTTAAACCCTAACATCAAATATGTCCCAATTTTCAAAAACACAGGAACATCACACCAAGCCCACATGTTCCATGTGGAAGATTACTGTTTTGGACCCTGCAAAGTCATCAGCACCTACGGGGTGAAGCAGGAAAGGGCAGTCTGGGTGCAGACCTTCCATAGAGCAACTCCGGGGCGCCTATGCAGGCCAAACAGGGGGCTTCCAACAACCACGTCACTAACTCGCCCTGCAGGAATCCACCCCGCAGGTCGCCCCAGGTGCACACCAGGACACCCACATTCAAGCTGTACAGACAAACTCAAGTCCAGGCAGTCCCTTCTGCCGAGGACACGGACATTTCCACAGCTCATGTTCCCGTCCCTACACAGGTATTTCGCATGTGGCAGCCCCAGGCTGGTTGCTCCCACTGGCCCACGTGTCCCATGGGCACAAAGCCTAGACGGGACACCAACACCATTCCCAAAGGGGAGGAGGGACGAACAGGCAGCTCATCACTGAAGCAGACATCGCTAACAAAGACCTCCAGTGGCATGTGGTTTCGCATGGATTCTGAGGCCCCAGACCCAAGCGTGTGCAGGAGGCACATGGCCCCCACAGTGGGCAGTATGCACACCACACAAGGGATACATCCACACGAGTCCGCAACCCCAACGCACCTTGGGACAGTCAAGCGGCCTGGCCTCACATGTGTATGCGTCCAGCGTCACCGAGATCTCAGACTAAGTGAGCCCCCTTCACTATACTGGAATACCCCACCCAGCAGCCCCTGGCCCAGCAACCTCGGACATCCATGGGATGTGACTCAGATAGTGCTGAGGGCACCAGGCACTTGGCGTGGACCACCAGGGGGAGGGTCGGCCCAATCACCGAACCCTCAGAGGGGCATCGGCTCCAAGAAGCATGCCCTTCCTTTCCCAGACATGGAAAAGGGTCAAAGGCAACCCCACAGAGGTCCAGAATCTTCAGCTTCTCCATGGCTTTCAAAAAGTATAAAAAAGATGTTAAAACCCACGAAAAACTTTTTTAACTGAGTATTTAAATGTGTTAATATTTTGCCTCTTTTTGTCACCATAGAATCAAATAAGTTAAGATGAAGGGTTCCCCAGGAATGGCACCATCATCCAGGGCGGGGGCAATGAGAGAGGGTCACACTCGACCTGGGTTTCGAGCTGTGACCAAGGAGGAGGGACAGCAGACGGGAGCTACCTCTGCTGGTGAAGGGGGTGAACGGGGTGTCAATTCACTCCACAACCACACTCGCCCCTAGGCCGTCACTCTGCCGGCGCTGGGCGGGTGGCGGCGTGAGGGAGGATACGTGCCTGGCACAGCCAGGCCGCCTCCAGGGAGCTGCAGCCCAAGCCCAGAACAGCGCGGACGGGGTGACTCCACCCTGAGAGAACCCCACCAACCAGGACCCGGTGGATCCAGGGAGCACAGCGTCCAGCCGCATCTGACAGTGTGCCCTCCGACACACTCAGCCCCTGGCGACTCAGGATCAAGAGAGCGAGAGAGAGAGCGAGCGAGAGGAGAGCCTTTAAGAGGACAGCAGCACGGCAGCCAGGCGGCGATCCGACATGGACTCCCAGGAAGGACAGTTTCTGCTGCGCCCAGCGTGTCAGACAAAGAGCAACGAGGGGACTCCACTCTCTGCCATGTCCTCCGGGCTTCCTAGCCTGAGCAGGTGGCCTAGCCCAACAACAGTCACGGACACAGCTCCCCTACAAAGCTGCCCACTCCCCACAACACTAAAGTGTACTAATCAAGAATTTTGGGCAATGTGCCGAAGAACCATTTTTGTCTTCCATTTATGTTTGTGACATCTCACGGAGCCAATGTCTTACTTTCTAAATCCATTCTTCCAGAACCGCATCACACGCTCAGATGGTTCTACAAAACCAGATGTACTAGAACACAAGAGCTGGTTTGGTTTTGTTCTTTTAAAAAGCAAATCCCGGGACGCCTGGGTGGCTCAGTCGGTTAAGCGTCTGCCTTTGGCTCAGGTCATGATCCCGGGG